GAGGGAGCGAAAGAGTGGGGAGGGAGAGAGAGGGAGTGGAAGAGAGAGGGAGGGAGAGAGAAGGAGAAAGGGGAGAGGGAGAGAGAGGGAAGGAGGGAGGGAGAAAGAGAAGGAGGGAGAGGGGGAGAGAGGGAGGGAGAGGGAGGGAGGGAAAGAGAGGGAGAGATAGAGAGGAATGGAGGGAGTGAGAGGGAGAGGGAGGGAGGGAGAGGGAGGGAGGGAGAGAGGGAGGGAGGGAAAGAACTGGCCCCAAATCACCCCGTCGGCTTTCATGCTCAAAGCAGGACTAGAACTCCCAGGCGCCCAGTTCCGAGCCTGGTACCTTCCCTACTAAACCAAACTGGCTCTTCAAACTGATCTCATTCAGACGCATCTTCCGTCTTCCTTTTTGCCTCTTAATAACCGAACGAAGCCCGTCTCTAAGGTCTCAAATGCGGTGATAGGAAGTCAGAGGCCGGCCTGGTGTGCCTGCTTGTGTTTTTCTACGTGCGAATGGCATCGTCGGCTTTACAATATTTAGGGTGTAGAGTCTGCTTGGGCGGGGGCCAGGGGTGGGGTGGCCTTGGACTAGATGACCTTACAAGGTCCCTTCCAACTCTGTTTAATCTGTATCTGTAGCTCTACATAATGATGATCAAGCACCCAGAACTTCTGGGGGCAAGTTGTTCCCCTGGTTAATTGTTTCTCACGGTCAGGAAATTTCTCCTGATGTCTTCCCTCCTCTCCTCCCGTCCCTCCCCACAGGCCCGCATCCTATGGCGGGGGATGGGTTTGCAATCCTCCCCGGGGGACCCCTGGTTTTGAACTTGCCCGTCCCACCCAAGACCTGCCTAACACCCAAGAAGGAACCGTACGGCATCGAGGAGCTGCCCTCTGGATTCTTTGCAAGAGCACAAGACTCGAATTGCACAGGGACGGGCGACGGCTCTACCTTGAGAGACGAAGAGATGGCTGGAGACCCCGCCGTGCAGGTAAGCCTGCCCGCTGCTCAACCAGGCTTCTGCCCAACTTTGCAAACTATGGGGCACCTCCTCCCTTGCTTCGGGTATGTGCCAGGCCTTCTGTGAGTTGAACAATTGCTCCCCCAAATGCCTTTGGAGATTTTCCATCATCCAGGTTGTGGTTGTCTCAACGGTGCTTTTTTTTGTTTTTGTTTTCCAAGAGGCCACTGGACTTTCTGGTTTTTCTTGGAAGAGGTTTCGCTTCTCGTCCAAAGAAGCTTCTTCAGCTCTGAAGAAGAAGAACTGAACCGAGAACTGGAGAAGCTCCTTGGATGAGAAGCGAAACCTCTTCGGAAAAAAAAAACCCCCAAACAAACAGAAAGTCCAGAAGGTCTCTTGAAAAATAAATCACCTTTTGGGTCAACCGTGAACCTGGAGGATTGAGAATGTCCATCTTTTTTGAGAAGATAATAGAAAGACAAAAATATCTTATGTTACATATATTAACAGCAGCAAGAATTTCATATGCTCAGTACTGGAAGAAAAACTCCACGCCATGTGAAGGCATAATAATAATAATAATAATAATAATAATAATAATAATAATAATAATAATAATAATAATAATAAATTAGAGTGTGTGGAAATGGATAAATTGACTATGGAATTAAAAGGAAAAGCAGATGCAGAATACATGTTGTTTTGGGGTTGATAATAGATATAAGAATAGAAAATATAAATAATGTATATAATAGATAAAGAGGGTATGAAAGTGTAAATTTTGATAGGATACATAAATGTATATATAATGTCACAGCGCTGTTTAATAACTATTGGTATTATGTATAAATGGGAAAAAAACTCAATAAAACATTATTTTTTTAAAAAAGCACCGTTGGGACAATTGCTCTCCAACATAGTCAAAGATTGCCCCCCAGCAAACGCGGAAGGCCTTGGGCTTAGACTTAAACTTAGAATAACTTTGTTGTCAGTTTAAACGTATGCTAATTGGCGTACATTAAAAGGAAATGTGGTTGGATTGAGAGGAAGAAGAAGAAAAAAGGAGAAATCCTCCGGAGATTTTAATGGTGTGGAAAATAAGGAGCATTTTCTTCGCTTCCCTGCAGAAATTAAAGGCCAGGCACGTGGGGTGACAGTCTGGGGAAGGAGATTAGGGTGGGTGGGGGGGTGATAAAAGAAGATGTTCTTGATCCAAGGCAGAAGGAAGCAGTGGAACTCTCTGCCACCAGATATGCTGCTCTGGGGAATTCGGGGAGTCCACTTGTGTTAGCGGAATAGCAGAATCTATTTTTTTTTTAATGTAATATAAATTATGCCAATTGGGGGAATGAAATCAGGAGGAAAGCCCAGTGATGGCCAAATGCCGTTCTTAACGCTTGGCTAGCACCCCAAGAGATCCAGAAGGGAAACTGTGACTCAGCGCTGACCTCTCTTGGGTTCCTTTTCCAGGATCTGGTGACCTTCGAGGAAGTGGCGATCTACTTTTCTGAAAAAGAGTGGGAGACCCTAACCGATTGGCAGAAGGGCCTTTACCTGGATGTCATGAAGGACAATTACAAAAACCTGGTGTCTCTAGGTAGCCATTTTTCATGGAGTGGTGGGGTGGGGTGGGGTGGGGGTGTTCCTGGTAAACACACACAGACACACAGACACACACACACACTATTTGAAGGATGAACTTTTCAAAAGGGATCCAGTACAGCTAGTTCTCTCCCTGGGCACCATGAGAATATCGCTGCTAAACAAGACTCCATACTGGTGACAGGAAGGGCATCTGGCCAGTCAACATTAATGCTCCATTCAGTTACCCAGACTGCACCCCGCAAGGACTTACGGGGTCGTTCAGTGATGATGATGATCAGCTAGTCCTTAACTTACAACCACAACTGGGCCGCAAATTTATGTTGTTAAAATGAGACGTTTGTTAAGCGAGTTTTGCCTCGTTTGACAACCTCCCTTGCCACCGGGGTTAAGTGAATCGCTGCAGTTCTTAAGTGAGTCAGCTGGCTGTTAAGTGAATCTGGCTTCCCCTTGGACTTTGCTGGTCCGAAGGGCGCCAAAGGGGATCACGTAACCCCAGGACACTGCGACCGTCATTGATGCGAGTCAGTTTGTCAAGCATCCGAATGTAAATCCTGTGACCTTGGGGGATGCTTTGATGGTCGTAAGTTGCTTTTTTTCAGTGCCGTGGTAACTTGGAATGAACTGTTGTAAGTCAAGGTCGACCAGTGACAACTGAATGACTATTTGCAATGAAGACAGGAAATAAATGGAAAGGGAAAGAAAAATAAATTCAGAGAAAGTCCTCCTGGGCCTTTGCTCCCGCAAGGAGGGCAGTGAAGGGGCAGGATTCACATCCATCTCTCCATTTGCCCTCCCTCTCCCAGGTCTCGCTGCGCAGCCCCCCAGCGTCCTCCTGCAGATCGAAGGCTGGGAGAAGCCCTGTGT